GGCCGTGGCAAGGGTTGCCGACGATGGTGGACCGAGATGCGAGAGCGGTATTTGACAGTCTCATTCACATTGCCGTGGGCAGAGGGGATAAGGTGTTGTTCTGGCGTGATAGATGGATCCATGGATTTGCCGTCAAGGACATTGCGCCGCTCTTGTACGCTCGAGTGGACACGCGCACCGTTAACAGAAGGACGGTGCAGGAGGGGTTAACCAATGGTAGGTGGCTTTTGGATCTAAACAGGGAGCTAAACTTTGGGAGTCATCTGCAACTCTTGCACCTTAACTTGGCCATCAGCACGGTAATCACGGACCCTACCGGTGATGATGTGTTCTCTTGACCGGCGGATCCGTCCGGTCGGTACACTGCTCGGTCCACCTATCATAGATTATGCCTTGGGACGGAGAGGGTGCCGTTTGCCTCTTGCATTTGGAAAAGTTGGGCGCTCCTCAAATGTACACTCTTTGCCTGGCTGGCAGTGCAGCATCGGATTTGGATGTCCGATAGGAGGGCGAGACATGGCCTGCAGGAGGAACCCTCGGCCTGCTACCTCTGTCTACAAGAGGAAGATAATGCGGAACACATCTTAGTGCAGTGCGTGTATGCCAGAGAAGTATGGCACGGTATCTGGAACACGCTATGTCTGCAAGGCCGCATCCCGGAGCCTCAGGACACTTTATTGGAATGGTGGCTTGCGGGCAGGAGCTTCTTTAGGAGGAGTGGGAAACGTGGTTTTGATACCCTAGTCATTGCCACGATCTGGGCGCTATGGAAGCAACGGAACGCGAGAGTTTTCAACAGGACTCGTCAGCAACTGCACGCGCATGGCCTGGCCACTGCCATACTAGATGAGATCAAGGAGTGGAAGGCGGCGGGTCTAGGTGGAGGAAGTTTCACTACGTTTTGTGAGAATGTAGGTATAGGGTAAGTGTGGGGTGTAAGGGTGTGTGCTTCAGGTGGAGGTTTGTTCCATCTTTGGGGCTTCTTGTAAATGGTTTTTCCCCTCTTCTATAAAAATAAGGTACACTTTTGGCGTACTTTTGAAAAAAAACAATTTTCACCGACACTTTACCAGTTCTGTAATTACAGATTTATTATTTATTATAAAAAAAATCGGCCCGAGCGACGTTGGAAGCTTTTAGTTTGGTGCCGACTTTCCTGCGTCTAGTATGCGTCTAGTAGTAGTTGTAATCGAAAGTTTGTAATCGTTTTTTAGAGAAAAGTATATTTTTCATCTCTCAAATTTTGGCGGAGTCTAGATTTGGTCTTTCAACTTCAAAACCGGACAACTTGTACCCTTAACTTCTCGAACCAGACAAGATTCATCCCTGGTCACGGTTTTACCCGGTTTTAATGCTGTCCCACCCCGGTTTTGACCGTTCCAACTCAAATTTGCCTACCTTTTCCAAGTTCACGTACTGTTTTCAAATTCGGTTACTTTTTTTAAATACGTGAACCTTTTTAAAATGTGTGTACTTTTTTTAAATCGGCGTACTTTTTTCCAAGTTCATGTACTTTTTCAAATATGCATATTTTTTAAAGTTCATTTATTTTTTAAGTTCATTTAATTTTTTTAAAATTGATGCACCTTTCATATCCGAGTACATTTTTCTGAAAGAGTTCATGAATTTGAAAATTTTATGCGAACTTGAAAAAAGTACGCGGATATGGACTTCTTTTGCGCAAAAGTATGTGGATTTCAAAAATTATTTCAACTTGAAACAAGTACGTGAATTTCATACAAAGTTCATGGATTATAAAAGCAACACAGATTTGAAAAAAAATGCAGACTTTGAAAAGCATGTGGATTTGAAATAAGTATGTGAATTTCAGAAACAATTCATAGCTTTGAAAAATACTTGGATTTGATAAAATTACACAAACTTGGGAAAATACGGGGATTTGGAAAAAGTACGTAAATGTTAAAAATCACGGATTTGAAAAAAGTACACGAATTTCAGAATAGTTTGCTGATTTGAAAAAGGGTATGTTTATTTTTAAAAAAATACGCGACCTTGAAAAAACTACGCGGAGTTGAAAAGTGTATGTGCGGCTATAAAAAAATTACAGGAATATGAATGAGCACGGGTCAAAACCGGGGTGAGTCAACACCAAAAACCGGTCAAAACCGAGTCTAGGGACGAACCTTGTCTGGTTTCGGTAATTGGGGGTGCAAGTTGTCCGATTTTGAAATTGAGGGACCAAATTTAGACTTCACCCAGAAGTAACGGACGAAAAGTATACTCTTCTCTTTTTTTTACATGAAAGTTGTAATCGTTACTCGAAAAGAAAGAGTTGTAATCAGGCATTGCTGCGTATTCCATGTCGAGAGAGACTCTAGTCTAGTCCAGCTAGCTCTATATAGTCTACAGAGCTGCTGTCGGCAGATCCGCAGATGCACTTATTTTGCACACGACTTGTAGCTTCCGTCCGCGTGCGTGCTGCTGTTTTGTTTTCTTCTCCATCTATCCATGGACAAATTCTTCAAGGCGAGGTAACTTTCGTTCTTTTTTTTTTTTGAAATACAGTACAATCATCACAAGCATCTCAGAGTCGACGGAGACGTCACTTACCAATGGAACAATAAAGCTATTAAATCTTGAAATAAATCCATAAAACTGTGATCACCCATGCCAGATATGAGCAGGTTTGGGGTTTCAACACAAGTGATCTGAGCATCTTACCCTAATAAAAGAAAACCCATCTTTTTTAGGGGTAAAACACTTTAGAAAGAAAAACCTGGAATTTTTTCCGATCTTTCATACCTTTTTAGGGTTCTATATCTCTAATCAAATAATTGCCTTCGTATGGTTATTTTACTGACACATATATCTTTAATTGAATAAATTAACTTCAGCATTTTACAGGTAGCTATGAAGATAACGGTTTTAGCTATAGTTTTAGATACTTCTCCTATTCCATAAAGCATACAACTTGATTTAACAACACTGCCCAATATTTAGGGGACCCCTCTCCCGAGTTCATACGTGTTTTTGTGGGTTTTAGTGTAACCGATTTGTCGGAAAATATACTTACCCATATTTTTCATTATGACGTGCATGCCATGTTATTCCTCTGCGTCATGCTTCTATTTGTCTCGTCGTGGGTTATCTTCTTCGTCTTGCTTCTATCTATCTTGCTTTCTTCACTATCATCAAAACCAAAGCTCAAACCGAAGCTTTCCGAGCAGTTGTTTATTTCTCACTTTAGCTACTGCCCTTTTCCTCTTCCGAATTAAGCGGCCTTTGTATGGCCATCTTCCCTTCCCGTCTATCTCCTTCGGGCAGGTAGTGAATCATTTGAGTGATAAATTGTTTTATATAGGTTGCATAGCTATTAAATCCTATGTATTCTTTTCGATTCATATTAATTGTCGCTGATTTAATATGGAGTGGAGTGAGTATCATATTTCCGGTCGTGTAGCTGGCCTGCGCATCTGTAGCTTGTCGGCCCACTATTTCCCCGCGTGGACGGTGGACTTTGTCCGCAGCGGGGCCCACTCCTCCTGACACGTCAGCTACAGGACCCACGGGACGCAGCAGCAGTTACGGTACAGCTAGCATCATACCTCGTCGAGCCGAACAAATGCAGCAGCAGCATATCTCCTCTCATCGAGCCCAAAACAGACCGACGACTCGGGTCACACCGCGAGAGAGAAGGAGAGACAGAGGACGACGGCGACGACGAGGCGCTAAACCCACCGCGTCGGTGCCGCGAGACCGGAGGCCAGGCCGCATCCCGGGCGGGCGGGCGGGCGGGCGCGCGCGCGCGATGGCGAGCAGGACGGCGGGGCGGGGCGGGAGGCCGCTGCTGGGCGGCGGCGCCGGGGGCGGGAGGCGCGGGAAGCCGTCCAAGGCGATCCTGGCCGCGCTGCTGCTGGCGTCGGTGGCGCTGCTGCTCCTCCTGGCGCTCGGCGCGCTCTCGCTGCCGGCCGGCTCCGGCCGCGGCGCGGTCCTCTCGCTCCCGCGCCCGCGCTTCCGCAGATCCGCGTCCGAGTCGTGCGTCCTCGCCTCCCCCTCCCCTTCGCGTCCACGGCCTCCGTGATCTGCCGTGTTCGTTGCCCGCGCACGCTCTCCCTTTTTTCCCGAGATTGACGTGGTGCTTGTTGTTCTCCGTTGTCGTTGTGCAGGAGGCTGGAGAAGCGCGGGGAGAAAGGGGAGCCCTGGACGGAGGTTCTGTCGTGGGAGCCACGGGCGTTCATCTACCACAACTTCCTCGTGAGTCTCTTGCCCCATTCTGTTTTTTTGGTTTGGGCCTAAACGGCTGCCTCTTTATTCTTTACGTGCTTTATTGGTTCTAGGATGCCGGCTGGGAGATCTCGAGATCTTTGTCGGTGATTTTAGGCGATTGTTGAATTCCAGTTAAGAGCTCGTTGTAAACATTGGCCTATCCGTACCAGATTAGATTCGTTAAGTAAAATCCGAAATGCTTGTACTTCAGTCGCAAGAATGCTAGTTATGAACTGAGGATCTCAACCCCTGAATTAGGTACAGAAAAGCATGAAGGAAACATATGTGAGCAGGACGCCACTGGCATTTCACTGTAGAGGGCTTGTACATGCAGCGCGCCCGGACATGGCTCTTGTTGAGTTCTACATGTTTATTATTCATCTAGGAATCCTCATATATATAGTCACACATAATTTGTGCTTCGAATCTGCTTGACCTTCAAGCCAGGGGCTCAAACTCAGAAGTGCAGGCACATGGGCTTGGGACAAAGAAGTAGATGATAAATATCAACACTGGCATTAGAAACTTTGCACTGTGATTATTAGTATCCAAAATGCCTTTGGAAGGTGTTTACTTCTGATGACATTGCATAATAGGAGATGAAGAAATGTCATGTGTATTTGTTGTATTTATTACACCTGGTTGGTATTACCGCAACTATTTATCATCTATGTTAGTTCGCTTCAAATAGCGATCAGGGTATGACTTGACTTTACTGCTGCTCTCAGTCCAAGGAAGAATGTCAGTATTTAATTTCATTGGCAAAGCCTCACATGAAGAAGTCGACAGTGGTTGATTCTGCAACTGGAGGGAGTAAAGATAGCAGGTTTGGACACTGCAAATTCTTCTTTCTCTCGGAACTGTTACGGAACCTGATGCCCACTTACGCTTAATGAAATGTATTCAGGGTGCGAACGAGTTCAGGAACATTTCTTAAAAGAGGCCAGGACAAAATTGTTCGCACCATTGAGAAAAGAATATCAGATTTCACCTTCATACCTGTAGGTATGGCATACCTACTAATATCATGGATACTTGAAAGTTTATTTACCTTTCTATGTTTTTGCTAGTATGCCTAGGGAGAAGATTACCGCGGAACTTAAGGTCTGAATATATTTTAAATACACTGTATTGTTCATTTGAAGAACTTTTCAGCTTTAATTCAGCATAAATGAATTGAACACCACCTCAAATTATCTATAAGTGTCATTTTGTTTTACTCAAAAGTTATAACTATAGTTGCTCTTCCAAATCTGAACTGTAATTTTGTGAACTTCAGTTTTAGGCTGATGCATTAGTCTTCGTCATGGTATAATTTCAAAGTTCTGATTATCATGCAGTATTGTGTGTCATTGGTTCTCCAAAAGTGCACTTGCTTACGACTTAGTTTGAATAGTTCATCATGGAGTATTAAGTAACTATGCAAAATAATGTATCAGTACATTATGGAGTGCAACTGCAGTGCGTTTCGGTGATCTGGTGTTTTCACAGTTATGTTCAGCGAGAATTATCAAGTTTATTTCAATTGGCAGCAAGGGTTCCACTAGGAGTATTAGCTTACAACGTACTGGCAGTATGTTCAAGTTTACATTGCCTTGTCCGGATACTAGGTGACACTTGCGCACCCAATTGTCTGAGACCCTCATTTAATAAATAGAGTTACACATACCAGTAGACAAAAAAGTGTTTTTGGTTCTCGAATAAGCTGTCAAACTATCTTGTTCTCAAGTTAGCTTAGATGCTAGGTACTTGGTTGAGTTAAACATTTGTTTCTTTCAGCCAGCATGCTTCCGACCTTGTCATGGACCACAGACCTGGCTCTGTGTCTGCCATTTTCCCAACAAGGTCATTGCCAATAATTTCAATTTTTATAGCATACCAAGTGCTAGAAGACAAAATTTTAAAATTGTGCAAGGGCACCAAGTATACACTGTACCAAAATTGTTAACCAAATTCACAGTTGCACTTGAGACAGCGCTCATGCATGCAAAGCATGATATCATACATGTTAAAGTCAAATATCTCATATTTAACTAGACAGTGCATGTGCACTCTTACAAAAAATAATATAAAAAGGATACACACACTAAATTATGCACTCCACTGTGTTTAGTTCATCTTTGAAACTTCTTTATGCTATGTAAAGCAGTACATTGTGTAACTGTTAGTTACTTTTGGGTAGTTTGAAATATTGCACATTTGAATGAAATAAGACATTGTGCATGCCTAATAACATAAGGTACATGAGCTGTCTTAACTCCAGTTTATGCAAAAAGAAAAATAATTAGTGCATTGCAGAAATATCACATTGCCAGCGCTAAATGGCTGAATGTCGATAAGAACTGCCTAGTTCAACGTTTCACCACATGAGAGTTGCACAAATAAATTATATATTCTACCTACCCCTTTTGAGTTCTTGAATGTTTCAATGTTGAAACATCGAAGCACTACCTTTTTCATTCCGTAGCTGCTTATATTCTCGCTGGAAGTTTGCTTCAAATTTGATGTCAATTTCTCGTCGTTTTTATTCATAATCTGTGCAGAAAACGGAGAGGGCCTTCAAGTTCTCCACTATGAGGTTGGACAGAAATATGAACCTCACTTTGATTACTTCCATGATGATTTCAACACCAAAAATGGGGGCCAGCGTATAGCCACTGTTCTTATGTATCTGTATGTACTACAAAGATATGCATTTTTTACATATAACATGCAGCATAGATGATCCAATTGACTTTTCTTTTCCAACTGATTAATTAGTTCGGATGTTGAAGAGGGCGGTGAGACCGTGTTTCCTTCTGCTAAAGTTAATAGCAGCTCAATACCATTTCATAATGAGCTGTCTGAATGTGCAAAGCGGGGTATATCTGTCAAACCGAAGATGGGAGATGCATTGCTTTTCTGGAGCATGAGGCCTGATGGAACCCTGGATCCCACAAGCCTCCATGGTGAGATTCTAATACTCGATGCAATGACAAAATTGTTTTCCTTAAAATGGTTGCGCAACAATATATTGACTCTTATGTCTACCTGCAATTTCTTTTAGGTGGTTGTCCAGTGATAAAAGGTGACAAATGGTCATCTACAAAGTGGATTCGTGTTCATGAGTACAAAGTTTAGGCATAACAGAACCAGGCGCTTAAGGTACTAGTTAATTATGCTGTACAGGTTTTTGATTTGCCAACTACCAGGAGTAGTGGACCTCTACTCCACACTATCAAGCGCATTTTGGATTCATGTGAGGTCTTTTGTTTCTAATTCTTTGCAGGTCATGCACCAGTTACTAAATATGTGGACGTTACAGCACATGATGAGGTCTCCAGTTTTCCATAGAGGATCGCCCTACATTTTTTTCTACCTTAATCAAGGCTTGGTCTTGGTCACCTTGTTGTACATTAACTTGTTAATTAGGCTTATGAACCATGATCACTCAGAGAAGATGTATTTGTTGAGTGTATAAATAACCATTGCCCTCCTAACGCAAATCGAGATGAGTGCCTGATAGCCTGATATCTGTGAAAGAGCATTCCTATTCTATTTGCGCAAAGCCTAATTCAAATCGAGATTTAGAAAGATAAAATCTTGAGAAGTACAGAGGAGATGGCGCCCCTCCCGCTCCCCTAGCTCTCCTCCCCACCAGCCCCACCGCCGTCGACTCCACGCCGGTAGCCCTCCTCCCTCGCCCTGCTATGGCGCCCACTTCCCCCACCCACTCCCTCTCCGGCGAGCGCGTCTCCTTCGGTGACAGCCGCTGGTCTGACTCTGGGTCTGACAGCGCGGTTCCCTCCCGCTCCTACAGGGACGTCGTTCGCACACCACCGCCGGCTCCCGCGTCGGCGCCCAGCGGCCCCTAGGCTGCCTGCCTCCGCCCGCCTCGGGCCTCGCTTGAAGGTTCATCGCGTCTCGTATGGAGCCAGGGTGGACGCCGACGGCTACCAGCAGCCGCGCCGCAGGAACCGACGTCGGCCTCGCCGTGAGCCTGAATTGAGCCCGGAGTTGCGGCGCCAATGCAGCCCATCCCCTGAGGAGCTCGCCGGGCTCTGCTTCCGCTGCCTCGACCCCCGCCACCGCGTCCGCGACTGCACCAAAGACATCCGCTGCAGGCGGTGCCTCATCTCCGGCCACAACTCCCGTGGTTGTGACGACTTCCACCGCCGCGCCGGTCGCACCCCACCCGCCGCCCCATGGACGGCCGCGCACCGTGCTGGCCGCGACCCACCCGCCGCCCCGCGGACTGCCGCGCCCCCGACGCCGCCCCCTGCTCCGGTTGTGCATGCCTTGCCCCAGCTACCTGCCCCCGCTCCGGTCGCGCACATGAGCGCCGCTGAGCCAGCGCGCATCATCAGGTCGCGCTCCGTTGAGATGGAGGAGGCAGAGGAGGTGCTCAGCCGGGCGATGGTGGCCACCATCACTGGTACTCGGCCCCAGGTGTGCACCGATGATGTCGCTGCGCTCCTGTGCACCACGTTCGACTTCGAAGACAGCGAGTTCACCACCAACCTCCACAAGCCTGAAGATTTCCTGATCATCTTCGGCTCCCGCGCCTCCAAGGACCGCATGAACGGCGACCACTACATCCGATGCCCGTGCTTTTCGCTGTCGCTACGCCCGTGGTGCAAACTTGCCCATGCCGGCTCCGGTGGGTTCGAATACCGCGTCGAGCTCGAGCTCCGCGGCATCCCCGCCCAGGCCTGGCATTTAGCGACGGCGGAGCACATCCTCGGGACCAGCGTCTGGTCGAGCGCCTCCACCCGCAGACGCGCTCCCGCGCTGACCTGGCCACGTTCCGCCTCTCCGGACGCGCGCACGACCCCGCCAGCATCCGCCGCGCCGCCACGCTGGAGATTGTCGAGGTCACTCCGGGATGCACCGCCTCCTCCACCCCTACGGTCACCACTCTCAGGTACCCTATCGCCATCGCCCTCGTTCGCTCCGACGTCGACCGAGCTCGCGCCCCCACCGGTCCCGCAGCTCGCCCAGATGGGGAGGAAGACGGGCATGCGGCTGATGGTGATGGCGCTAATGCCAATCATGGCCCCGGGCGGGGCCGCCCGCGCCGTCGCGGCCGCAAACGCCGCCGTACTGCCATCGCTCCGGAGGGACGTGCCGACGGCATGGCTGTGGATGCCGGCGGTTGGGCGCACCCCCGTGGCCAGCACCGTGCTGACGGCCTTGCCATCGCCGATCACTGGTCCGGGGCATGCACTGCCGTGCGCGCTCAAACGCCGCCGCCCGTACAGTCAACACCCCGGCCCATGGACGCCTGGCCCACCTCCCTGGACGACGCCCGACGCCCTCATCACAAAGCCAAAAGAGGAAAGAGGGGAGGAAAGAAAAAGCGTGGAAGGATTGCGGCTGCGATTGCCAAAGCTGCTGCGGCTGCCGATCCCAGGCCGACAAGATCACCCCCACGGGCCGATGCACACGTCGCTTCGCCAGCTGGCTCCTTAGCACAGGCGTCGCGCCCTCCCACCCCAGAGGCCGGACCCGCCACGGCTGTGGATCCCAGCCCGACAGGATCACCCCAACGGACGGACGCGCACGTCGCTTCACCAAGTGGCTCCCTGACGCTGGTGCCAGGCCCTCCCACCAGAGAGGTCGGGCCTACCACGACCATGCCCCTCCTGTCGCCATGCACCCAGATGAGCGCCGTAGCTGACTCGGGACCGCCCTCCACCAATCGCTGCGCGCCTAGGGATCCCGACAACATATCCTCATGCAGCGAGCTCCCCGACTCACAACCAGAAGTGTGCCCACCCTTGTCCGCTCCAGAGACTGATGCTGCTGCTGACCTACTGTCGTGGCAAAGCGCTGCTTTGTCTACATCAGTTCCTATTGCCCCTGACGAGGACCGATTCCTTGACCGTATCGAAGCTGCGCGGGGCGATACGCAGGAAGAGATGCGGCAAGCCCACACCACCGCGCCAGAGCGCACCCAAGGCCACGATAATCCTTTGCAGGCTCCTGGCGCGGATGTGATGGGCCTCCCAGTCGCTGCCACTTCGACGGCCCATGATCCCATGTAGATCCTGCCCAGGCCACCTTCCCTCCTGGATGCGGCTACCGCTGGCCCAACCATCGAGGATGTGCGCCCCGCACCGCCCACACCAGCCGTTCGGTGCACGACCCGCTTCGCCTCACCTCTAGTCACGCTACGCCGCTGCCGGCCGAGCACTACCACGATGGGCAACTGGACCTTGGGTGACTTCCTTGCCACAGCCACCCGACAGCTCAATCCTGTCCTTCCCGCCCCAGGCCGCAAGCAGCGCAGGTAGCCTCTCAACTTCGCGCCGCCACGGTTTGGGCGATCTGCGACCATAGCAAAGTCCAAGGTGGCCGCGCCACCTACTGTCGAACGTCGCGCGCAGGTTCAGCTGCTGCACACTCTAGGCATCGTTGGTGTTGACGAGCCAATCACACTGGATGCAATGAAGGCCTACGACAACCTGTTCGCCGCGCCGATCCCTAAGACAGTCCTTGCAGCCATCGCTGCCCTGGTCGGTCGCGAGCTCCCCGCTGACCCATCAACGGCGCCGATCACCACAGTGATCAACGGCAGCCCGATCGAGGTCTGAGCGCGTGCCGCGCTCCTCCCTTGTCGACCATGTTCTCATGGATCACGCCCCGAAGATCATAGTATGGAATGTGCGTGGCCTCAACGCTCGTGCCCGGTGCACCGCAATCCGGTCGCTCATTGTATCCGCGAACGCATCTGTTGTCTGCCTCCAGGAAACTAAAATGGAGTTGATCGGCTTGTCCACTGTCCTCGAGACACTTGGCTCGGACTTCGACGACCACGCATACTTGCCTGCGATCGGCACCCGTGGCGGTATTCTGCTGGCCTGGAAGCGCAGCTTGGTGATGATCAACAACCCCTCGCTCACCACAAACACGTCGCCCTGGTGACGCCCCCCCCACAGCGCCAACCCCTGGTGGCTCACTATCGTCTATGGGCCGCAGCATGACAACGACAAGATCGCGCTCCTCCAGGAAATACATGATGTCCGAGCCAACTGTGCTGGCCCATGGATGCTTTGCAGTGATTTCAACCTGATCTATCGCGATGAGGATAAGAACAACGGAAACCTTAGCCGCCGCATGATGGGGCGCTTCTGACGGGTCATCAACGACCTTGCTCTCAAGGAGATATACCTAAACGGATGGCGCTACACTTGGTCGAACGAGCAGACCCCGCCAACTCTGGTTCACCTTGATCGCATCCTATGCACCACGGATTGGGAAGAGCAGCATGACGAGTGTCACCTACGTTGTCTGGCTTCGGTCATATCTGACCACAGCCCCCTCCTCCTCGACTGCTCGCCCCTACCCCCAGCACGCTGGTGCTTCCACTTTGAGGACTACTGGACACGAGTCAAGGGATTTCATGACGTGGTCGCAGACGCGTGGCACTCTGTGGATGATGCGGACCCGTTCCGCCGCATCATGCGACGCATGCATGCCACCGCACGCAAGCTCACGAGCTGGAGCGCGCGCACCGTGGGCAATATCCGTGACCAGCTCGCGATCTCACGCGAACTGCTGCTGCGGTTTGACACGGCCCAGGAGAGTCGCCAATTGACGCCACATGAGGATTGGCTATGAAGGCAGATCAAGCTCTCCTACCTCGGCCTCGCCTCGTTCGAGCACACCCTCGCACTCCAACATGCACGTGTTACATCGCTCAAGGATGGAGACGCGAACACCTCCTTCTTCCATCGACAATGCACGTACCACAAGTAGAAGAATATGATCCACACTCTGACGGTTGAGGGAGCCATTCTTACTGATCCAGCTGACTTGGCCGCCGCGGCGTTCGCGCACTTTGACTCCCTGCTCGGAACGGATCACCCTCGCGAGTGTGCCCTCAACCTCGACGACCTCATCGCGCCCTCCAACCTGGATGACCTGGACGCCCCCTTTGGTGAAGAGGAGATTTGGCAGGCTGTCAAGCGATTGCCGGCGCGCAAAGCGCCCGGCCCGGACGGCTTCACTGCAGAATTCCTGCGCTCCTGCTGGCCTGTTGTCAAGCAGGACTTCGTCCGTGTATTCCAGAAGCTCTACGCGCTCCGTGGGCGGGGTTTCAGTTGCCTGAACCAAGCATTGCTCACGCTGATCCCAAACTGCTCCGATGCAGCCGGGCTGGGCGATTATAGGCCCATCAGCCTAATCCACCTCGTCGCCAAGATTTTCGCAAAGGTGTTGTCCCTCCGCCTAGCACCCAAACTGAACGAGCTGGTCAGCCCCATTCAGAACGCATTCATCCCGGGACGAAGCCTACACGACAATTTCGTGCTCGTCCGACAATCGGCCCGTCTTCTCCACCAGCTGGGCGC